TATTTGGTACAGGGTCTCATTACGCAGCTTGGACTCATGGTGATTTTCCTGTCTCAGTCTCTCCAGCACTGGAATTACAGGCGTGCACCACCACACCCAGTATCTGTGGTTGGCAAGGTATTCTCAGGGTTCTGGGGCTGGTACAGCATGCAATACTGGGGGTCGAACTCCCTTCCTTGCACTTGCCAGGCAAGCATTTAGACTGCTGAGCTATTTCCTCAGCCCTTGCACCTACATTTACATGTATAAAATATGTATATGCAAATATACAGTATATATATATATTTAATTACACTCTTCTATTGTATGCAAACAGAGATAGGTTAGCTTCACTTTGTTCCTTTTTCTTTGTCAAAGACACTTTGACCTTCATTGTTGTTCAGGGTTTCACAATAACCTTTGAAAACCAGTAAGCAGAAAACTATGCCTGCATTTTGTAAACCTGTACTCCCGTGAGGTAACTTCGAAGGACGCAACTTCAAATAAGTATGTAGTTCAGATATGTGATGTTATGCAAGCCAGAATTCCATAGACTTATAAAAACTTAAACAGCCTTTTAACTTCAAACTGGAGTTAACGATAAATAGCCTCAAAGACTTACTTTTGTGATCCCAATTACCAAGAAGAAAATGCTTCTGGTGACATGAGAACTTACCTGCCAGGGACGACATGTTGATGATGACGCCGCCTTCTCCTCCGTGCTGCCTGCTCATGTAATCCAAGCCCAGGTAGGTCCCGCTGATAACAGACACCTAAGCCAGGGGCAGAAACGGGCCAATGGTTCAGCCATTAGCCTTCATCTTACATTTAAATGATAAAATTGTGAATGCTATGACGGGTCCCTTCTCTCTTGTTTGCCTCAGAGTTGTGTAGCTTGTCATGTCTCTGCCAAACTAGTTTCCCAACATGAGACATTATGGCAAAGCCTGTATGTCCCTGTTTTTCCACTTTAACTTAATTTTCAAAATCTTTAAGAATTATGAAAATGCATGTATACACACAGCCTAGCTAGGATCATTGTACTACTAATTTGTATGGGTTTTTTTTTATTTGAACGGATAAATTAATCCTTACAATGTTTATTTTGACCAATTTTAAATGCTTACATCTGGTAATCTGATACTTTGAAGACAACAATGTGCAATATAACAAATATTGAATTCCTGTCATCTTGTCTTTGAAATTTTGCATTCTTTTTAATGTTTTATCTATTTTTAATTCTTT